TGCCCCTCACCCATTTACTTGCATGTATCACATTTTCAATAAAAAGGCACGATGATTCCTAGCAGTTGTCACTCCTCAGAGAGCAATCTTTGAGGGGTGTCCGGCATAGGACGTGCATGAGAAAGCATCGAGGCCTCTGTCTTCTGTTCACCTTCGCTGCCTCCGTCGAGATAACCCACCCACGCCGAGTCTGGTCCCCGGCATTTCAGAGCAGAGGTTCTGGATACTGGCTGGTGGGAGGGCCTGGGGCTGACTAGCCCCGCTGCACGAATACCCTCTCAGGCCTGCGTGGTGATGGCAGTGACGCCCAGGGGCCTGCCGGACAAGGCTGATCTCACCGAGGAGCTGATTGGCTACGAAATGTCTGTTTGGATGGCTGGGGTGGCCAGGTAAGGGGCTGGCAGTGTGAGGTGGAGGGCAGGGCATGGACTCCGTGTTCAGAATGACACCTACGAGTTGTGTGACCAGGCCCATGGTTGTACTTAGAAGCTCACCCATGACGTGGGTTAAAGTACACGGCTGGGAGGGGCCAGGTGACGGGTCCAGCGCGGGGACTGGTCAGAGCAGGTGTGTGGGAAGCACAGGATGTTGAGGTCGGGGTGGTTTCAGGTGGGGTTCAAGCCTTCCCGGTTTCTGGCAGTGCTGGCAACACAGGGGTCTGAGAATCAAAACCTTCCACTGCTCACTTTCTGGCTTAGCCCAAGATGAGGCTCACGGAGCCACCTGGGAGGGGAGGGGACAGCCCTTGTGGAGGAAATGACACTGCCCCACTGAGCAAGTGGTTCATTCCATGCCACCTGGTGGGGAGGAGGTTTGAGGCAGCGTTTGCTGGCGGGGTGCAGAGACCAGGGCAACTCACTGTGCCCTTCTGCCTATGGGGACACTCCACCCTCGGTGGCCTGCTGGAGCCTTAGCCAATGGGCGTGGCTTGCCTGAATGACTCACCCTTCTTGGCTCTTGAACTTGGTTCACCTGAGGTGGCTTTGGGTGAAGCAAAGGCTGCCTTTTCCACACCATTCCCCTTTCCTTATGAGACGGACAGGACATTTGGGGTGAGCCATTTCTTTAAGGTGGCAGAGTACAGGAGGGGAAAGGGTTGCTCTGAGCAGCACTTTGGGAACACTGAGGGGACAACATGCACGGAGCCATTTACTAACCATTCACCTGCAGGACGTGGGTCTGGAACAGCTCCTCGTGGCCCGAGGCGTGGCAGGTGTAGTTGCCCATGTGGACGGTGGTCACCTTGGTGATGTACAGGGAGTCGTCTTCTCCGAAGTCCTGCAAGGGGCAGAGAACACAGAGAATGGCCTGTTTACGGAGCAGGTTCGGGAGGCTCATCGGGGTCTCTGTCGTCCAGGAAGACAGAAAGCCTGCGCTGCGGGAGTTCCTGTCCTCAGCCTCACTCCGTAGCGCTTCCTGCAGGGCTGAGGTGGCTGGGCAGCAGAACCTTCCCACATGGGAATGTCTCATAGAGTGGTTACTTCATTGCTGTGTCATTCTCTGCTCACCCCAACCCTATGAAATTTTATTTGAAGGTAGCGGGCTGGATTTGGCCCAGGGGCAAGAGTTCACCTACCCATGATTTAAATTCTACCTTGATGTCAAAATGATATCAGGCAGTTTGTAGAGAGCTGGGTAATCCAGGGAAAGGAACTACAACTATGAGGAAAAGGGAAAAACAAACAAAACACAAGGGTGGGGACCTAAAAGAGAGCAGGAGGCCCAGCAGATGCATCGTGGTTAAGGTGCTGGGTCTCACATGGCTGATGCAGTTCGAGCCCTGGACCAGGTTTCTTGAAAACCATGACTGGTGCATATGTGTGTGGTGTGGTCATCCCTATTTGGGAGGGGGGCAGTTTTTTTTTTTTAAGAGAAATTTTTCTAGTGAGACAGAGAGAGAGAGAGAGAGAGAGAGAGAGAGAGAGAGAGAGAAAGTGAGAAATCACACACACATACACACACCCCCAAAGGGGATGGCTATGCTGCAATCCCTTATCCTCCATTATCTTCTTGGGATCTTGGGCATGCACGCACATGTGCTTGATGTTAGTTTCAAGCACTGGGTCCAGGACTCGAACCATAGTCAGCCATGTGGAGGTCCAACAACATAACCACCATGCCATCCGCTGGTCCCAGGGTGTGATTTCTTACATTCCCTCTTCAGTTTCTCCCCTGAGAGCACATGTGCCCTATGGCAAAAATCTTGAGAAAAAAAAAAAAGCCAGGAAGGGCTGACAGCCAGGGGTCCCATCAGAAATGGCCCATGGCCCAGTGAGCCTTGGCACCGTGACCTCTGCAGCCTCAGTGCAGGGCGCTATAGGACCAGTGCACGTGGGAGGGTGGGCAGGAGAGGCACTAGCACAGAGCACTCCTCAGTCGGCTGGGCTCGCTCCTGCAGAGCTGTGCACAGCCGGCCCCTCCCAGGCCCACGCAGACATGCGGTGGAACTACCCAGCATTCCACAGGCTCCCTCAGCAGGTTTACCTTAGCTACCAAGCATCTCCCAGGGTGTGGGGCTCGAAGCTGAAGGGTCAGAGATGGCCATGCCTTCCTGGTGAGGAAGGGGTCACCTGGGAGCCCTGAGCTGGGGCTTAGCTGAGTTCTGCTCTTGACCAAAAGTCCCCTAGGCCCTCTGGGCACTGGCTAACCCACCTGTAACTTAGGGACAATATATATGCTCTGTCTGCCTGCGGAGGTGTTGAGCGATCTCATGGGAGAATGTGTAAAAATCTCTCTCTTTTTTTAAAGAATTATTTTATTTCACTTATTATCATTATTATTATTTGTTCAATTTGACCAGAGAGAGAGGGAAAGGGAAAGGGAAAGTAGGAAAGCAAGCCTCCAGGTGTGGGACTCGAACCATGGTGGAGTCGACCATGTGGGAGTCCAGCGCCTTAATCACCATGCCACCTGCCAGCCCTGAGAATCTATTTTCTAAAGGGGGATGCATGACACACATAGGGTGGGGGATGTTATTTTTCTGTTCATTATTAACAGAAAATGCAAAACTCCTCCTGCTCTCTCAGAGCCAACACCAAACCATCCCTCCTGCCCCTGCCTGTCCTTACTGAGCTTCCTTTGTCCACAGCGACGCTCTGGTGGCACAAGGATGGTCTCAGGGCAGCAGAGAAAAGCTGTCTGGGCCACTGGTTGGTCTCATGCTCCTGCCCCCTGAAATGTTGATGACCCCCCCCACCCCCCGGCCTTTGCTCATACTCCAAAGGCCCCACCACAGCCATCATGAGTTCCTTAAAAGATGCTTTCTGGCTAGCCCAGTGAGGGGGTGAGGTCTGGAGCGAGGCGTCGGGGAGGGCGAAGGCGGGAAGTGGATGGTGAACACGTGCAGCTGCTTTCAGGAAAATGCCCGGCCGAGCTCCCAAAGGAGCAACAACTGCAGAGTGCGGCTGGAACTCTCCATGCCGGTCGGGAAACATGGCTCTGCTGTAAAGAGCCCCATTCCTCCCATTCTGGGGAAACGTTGGTAATAAAAATAAAACACCAGGTAGCAGACTCGTCCTGTGTCACAACAGGGCCAGAAAGAGCTTGTGCCTGAGTTGCTTCGGGAAAGTTAGTGGCTAGTCAATTCTGGGGTCGGCGTATTTCTAGTCGAAGCTGTTTCCTGTGTCAAAACTTGAGTCTCGAGGAAAATGTGTTTTGTTGGAATCTCAGTGGTGGGGTGTCATCTTGAAAGAGGGCTAGAAGCTAGGTGCAGCCCCACCTTAGGAAAAGGGGTGTGGGGGGCCTTGGGACTCCTCAGGGCAGACTCCATCCCTGAAGGGCAAAACCAGGGCTGCTCACAGGGAGTCTGGTGGCATTTTCCTGCCAATCTGCCTTCCTGGCCTTCACACCCACAGCCCTTCCTCATGGGCGAACCCTGAAGCCAGTCTTGTGTGCTGGTGGCCCCTGCTCTTTCCCCTGCCTCGAAGGGTCTCTCAGTGACAGGGCCCATGGCATTCCTCAGGCTGAGATGTGCCCTGAGCTCCGAGGGCCGCCCTAGGGCTGAAGTTCCCACAGAGTGACACCGTTAACACCAGCGCACAGCTTTCAGCAGGTCACTCTGTGCTGGGCAACTGACATACATGGTATCGTTTAATCCTCAGAGAAAGCCCCCCAGACCCGAAGCCATAACACAAAACAAAACCAAGTCCCTGTGGGTGAGACCGTGAAGGGCCTTCTCACGTACACTCCGATCTGGTATTCTCTCGTCACCTCTGTTGCTGCCACCCCAGGCCTAGCCTTGGTTGTCTTGTCTGGGGGATGGCGGAGGCCTCTGCTTCGGCCCCAGTAGTCTCCCCCAACCTTCTCCAGCAGCCAAGCCACACCCCTCCCTCAGATCCCTCACTGGGGCCATTTCCTTCCACTCTGTTCTCGGGTCTGGAACATGCTCGGCCTGTCCCACGGCTGGCCTCTCCTCTCCAAAGGCTGGCTGTCTTCAAGTCTCCTCTCCAAAGGCTGGCTGTCTTCAAGGGTGGTCTGTTGCCCACCTGAAACCTGTGCCCCAGCATCATGGGACTCACGGCCATGTAGCATGCTGGTCCTGAGTTTCCCTTGGTAGTTGCCTGTCTTCCCCACCAGTATGTGAGTTCCATGGGGAAAGGCTGTGTCCCTCAGAGCAATGCAGTGTCCAGCACATAGTAGGTCCTCAGTAAACACTCGTTGAATGGACTGTACAAGTCACTGAGCTGGGCTTCCTGCAGGGATGGTATCAGTTCCGATTCTTTGGGTTTGACAATGAAGGTGCCAACCTCCTGCCTTCCCATGTATCCCAGAGCTGCCCAGTCACATGAAGGGAAAATGAGGGGGCTGGTCAGTGGGGCAGAGAGGGCTGGCCTCAAGTCTTGTTCCCTGTTTCCCCAGTGCATAGAGGGCCTCATGGCTCGTGGGCATTCCTCAGGCCAGTGCGCACTGGGGTCAACCCTGAGAATGCCCAACCCAGAGCAGCAGGCAGAGGTGAGAAAGCCCAGGCACAGAACCCCTGACTTGGCTGACGGCTTCAGTGTGCCTCCAACATCGCTTAGCCTCTCCATCTGCCATCTCTGGCTTACCAAGTCCTCGCTCCTGTTCCCTGGCAGCAGAGACGTAACTCTTGAGTAATCACTCAGGTGCTGAGGGGTGCGTGTCAGCCCTTCGAGGACATGGGGGTACTGCACATACAATAGCTCTTCTGTAAGCCCCTAATGCATTAGCAGCCTGGGGTTTAGGCTCTGGGGAGAACCTGACTCTGTAATAAATAAAATAATGTCTCTAGCTAAAACAATAGGCATCACATAATTATAGAACAAAGTGCATATTGTTTTCTGGATATGAATAGTAGCTACAGAAATCAAATCTATCTCATTGGATGTGAGAAAATTACCTTAAAAATTGATTTATAAGAAGTTACATAAAACTAAACCTGCAATCCTTCCTCTCCTGAATGTTCTTTGAGATGTGTCTGAATACTGCTATCAATGCCTGATTGCATCTCTGTAATTGTCTTTTTATGGATGGCGTTGTTTTTTTTTTTTTTCTCTGATGCATAGAAACGTATTAGCAAAATCAAGGTTTCTTGCAGAAATAAACAGATGCCAGATTAGACCATTCTTTGTATTGATGCACATCATTTTTGGGAAACAATTTTACTTAAAGATATGACTTTTGTGTTTTAAAAAAGCTATTTCGTAAGTATCTTTTTCTTGATAAAGAAAGTAATTAAATGAGATTAAGTATTAAATAAAAGTTAAGCAGGGATGAGACGGGGAATGTTGTCATAGTGATACATGAGAGTCAGATATAAATAATATGGAAACAAGCCATTAATGCTGAATATTTAGTGACAAGGGCCCCAGAGTAATATTAGAGTTTAGGCTAACGATACTGTCACCATTACAAGTTAAACTCAGCTTCGGAAGGCTTATTCAGAGCCTTTCCAACTCTGCCCTTTCAGGGATGCCCCCGGCTGTCTTTGAGGAGGAAGTGAAGAGGCATTTCTCCCTCAGCGCTGTTTGACGCTGACCCCTAGAGTGGCAGAACCCAGTATTTCATCTGCACAAACAGCTGAACACAGACCCAAGCCCTGAGATTTGGTGAAGGCCAGTCCTCAGGGACGCCTGCACTCACATGAGCACGCATGTCCCTAACCCAGACTCAGCCAGGATCAAATGTGTGCATCAGCTAGCACAGGCTAACATCCATGTGGACACATGCAGTGAACGTGAGCGTGCGCACACGGGTGCCCACAGACCGACTCACTGGCTCTCTACAGTTGACCATCCGACGGACACTGGGGTTCCTGTGCT